GTTTCTATGTTCTGTGTGTGTGTGTGTGTGTGTATATATATATATATATATATATCTTTCTACTGTATTTTCCACTGCATGCATTCGATGAAGTGGGTTTTAGCCCACAAAAGTTTATGCTCAAATAAATTTGTTAGTCTCTAAGGTGCCGCAAGCACTCCTGTTCTTTTTTGCGGATACAGACTAACATGGCTACCACTCTGAAACCTGTCAGTTGGGATCAGGTCATTTTAAAACTTTCATGCTGTGATGGTGGAAGACATTTGGCTTAAAGAAAAAGAAAACTTTGAATATAAACTTCCTTCCAGTATTGGAGAGTAGTTCTTACTTGGAGCATTTGTCACATCATTGTAATAATCAATGTGTATATAAGCATATGTTTAACATTCAACCATTATTATTCAAAAGATTTCTTTAACTGGAAGTTAATTCTACAATGCTTATATTTTTTTCTGATCTATATTTTATGTAGCTGATTGTTGAAACAGAGAAATGCAGCATTTCCATGAAGATGGCTTCATCAGAAGATGTGAATGAAGTGATGGCACACATTGGAACGTGCCTCAGGAAAATATTCCCTGGTCTGTCTCCAGTGTAGGTACTCATTTTTGGACACCTGTAATGCATATAGCTCACCAGATCATTCAGGTAGGCTGACTAGCCACTGTTCCCTGCCCTCTGGTCCTCACCTTTCATTAGGAACATAACTTAGATGTAAGAAACATTTTGGGCCAGGGCCTGACCCTCACTTGAGCTCCTTTGTAGTAATACGGAAGAATCCTTAACTAGTGTGAAGTCTGCGTAGAGGCAGGCATGGCTGGAGCATGCTATATTTTGGAGATTCCCAGTGACCTAACAGCCATTTGAGAGACTGGGTGCCAGACTCATCTCTCCAGTTCCAGGGATTGGAAGAGGGCCTAATGGTGCCTTAAGGTCACCTTTTTTTGCCCCCTCACTTCACAGATCTTTGGCACATTTGAGGGTCCAGCCCTTTGTTTTCAGTAACTTCTTTTCCCTAATGGTTGTCACTAAACAACTGTGACGTTGGCTAGTTCTTTCCAGGCCCTTATCCGTGGCTAAAAGCTAAATGGGGAGTGGAGGGAGGACTATGACATTCATCATTTTTCAAACGTCAACAGTTGGGAGCCCAGTTGTTAAATCATATACCTTCAGCAAAACAACTGTACTGCTGTCGTTCTCACTTGTCCTCAGAAATGTGTCTGTATTTTCTACTCTGCTTCAGTATTTCATCTTTCCCAATCATTCCTACCTTCTGTTTCCTTTCTCCTATCTCTGCCATGCTCCTTTCCTGCATTCTTTCATCCTACATCAATGCTGAATAGTTTTTCTTTTATTTTCTTCACTTTGTTCTCACTTGGTTCCTTGTCTTTCTCCCTGCCCCATTTTAGTTGGTGCCTCCCAGATCTTATCACTCTGCTACTCTCCATTCTACTACTCCTAATTTCCCAAGAGTTTAAACAACAAACATATATATGCTCCCATAAAATATAGTTTTCCTCTTGACAAACACTTTCACAAGTAATAGTTTTAATACGCCTCTACCCCGATATAACGCTGTCCTTGGGAGCCAAAAAATCTTACTGTGTTATAGGTGAAACCGCGTTATATCGAACTTGCTTTGATCCACCGGAGCATGCAGCCCCGCCCCCCTGGAGCGCTGCTTTACTGCATTATATCCGAATTCATGTTATATCAGGTCGCATTATATCGGGGTAGAGGTGTACTCACATGCCAGAAAAATGTAAATGACACAGCAGAAGTCATTTATTGTTTTCTCTCCACTTTGCATCCTGTGTTACTCAACTTTCCTGTAGGTTGAGTAGGAAATAGTCACTAAATTTAAACTGGTACTTTTTTCTTCCTTTCTTATTTTAAATCTCTAAGGCATCACTACTGTTTACCATGAAGGAGACTAAAATCCTTCTTCAGGCTCATAATAAGGCAATTTGTTAGCAGGAACAGCTAGAGATACTGTATCCAAAATGGAGAAAGGGAATGGAAGGAAGGGGACTTCAAAGCTGCATATCTCTCAACATCTTATTTAATTATTTCTGACTTCGTACCTTTTTCTCTTGGGCTGCCTTGGTGACATTTGCTGCAGCATTTTGTGAAACTATACAGAGATCTTGGTTCAGTGGGGAGGAGGGGAGGAAAGCCAGGTGTGATTCTGCTGTCAAACTGGTGTCAATCAACAGACTCTCAATGAATATTTGCTGTTGTAAAACTGAGGTCAGACGAGAATCCATCCAAAGGGCTTTGTAACCACATACCCTATATGCCAAGGAAGTTGACGTTCGTAGGTCTGTAGGGGAAAGCAATTGATGCATCACACCATTAGCACCTGTTGCCAACTTATTCTAGAGTTTTACTGAACAGAGGGAAGATACACGTCTGTTCTTCCCCTCAGACAAACATGATATTATTTCTTAAGAATAAAGGCAAAGGGGCTAATTTTTTTGGCGAGGAAGGAAAACTATTTGAATATAGAGGTTAGAACCAAGGTAGCCAAAGTGTGATCCCCTGAGTACATGTAGCCCTTCAGGAGTCCTCGTGCTCTTTGGCACAGTATTTAATATTTCAGCAGAAACTTTCACATGTGGCTCTGTAGAAACAGCAGCATTGGAAGTGTGGCCATTACTCTCATTGGTGATGTAAAATAATGGGAGCAAGAGATGAGCCAGGTACAGAGCAGGAATAATTGAGCCTTTGGTGTCAGAAGGGCTATGCACGATAAAAACTACAGTTGAAGACTGTGTCTAAAAAAAGAGACACAGTTGCAGCATGGTCTCAGGTGGTAATGACTATATAGTCGAACACGGTAGCCCTGTTGTTTTGGGGGCCTTGAATTAGTGGACAGATGCCATGAGGCTACGTTGCTTCAGTGAACCATGGCTTTGCGTCGTTTGCCCTTGCTAGTGTGAGGGAAATCGGATAGATCACTCCAGGAGTCCTGGGATTAGCTCACTGGACAGGAGAAGGGAAAAATAAATACTTAGGGCAGGTCTACACTTAAAATGCTGCATCGGCGCAGCTGCAGTGCTTAAGTGAAGATGCTCCCATGCCAACAGGACAGCGTCTCCCCCCAGCTTAGGCCTTGGCTACACTTACCAGCTAGTTC